TGATATATATTTTCCTGATTACTTCGGACCATCCTCTGATGTGATATATATTTTCCTGACTACTTCGGACATCCTCTGCTGTGATATATATTTTATTGGTTACTTCGGACCATCCTCTGCTGTGATATATATTTTCCTGACTACTTCGGACCATCCTCTGCTGTGATATATATTTTCCTGACTACTTCGGACCATCCTCTGCTGTGATATATATTTTCCTGACTACTTCGGACCATCCTCTGCTGCTATATATATTTTCTTGACTACTTCGGACCATCCTCTGCTGTGATATATATTTTCCTGACTACTTCGGACCATCCTCTGATGTGATATATATTTTCCTGACTACTTCGGACCATCCTCTGTTGTGATATATATTTTCCTGACTACTTCGGACCATCCTCTGCTGTGATATATATTTTCCTGACTACTTCGGACCATCCTCTGCTGTGATATATATTTTCCTGACTACTTCGGACCATCCTCTGATGTGATATATATTTTCCTGACTACTTCGGACCATCCTCTGATGTGATATATATTTTCCTGACTACTTCGGACCATCCTCTGCTGTGATATATATTTTCCTGACTACTTCGGACCATCCTCTGCTGTGATATATATTTTCCTGACTACTACTTCGGACCATCCTCTGCTGTGATATATATTTTCCTGATACTTCGGACCATCCTCTGATGTGATATATATTTTACTGACTACTTCGGACCATCCTCTGATGTGATATATATTTTCCTGACTACTTCGGACCATCCTCTGCTGTGATATATATTTTCCTGACTACTTCGGACCATCCTCTGATGTGATATATATTTTCCTGACTACTTCGGACCATCCTCTGCTGTGATATATATTTTCCTGACTACTTCGGACCATCCTCTGATGTGATATATATTTTCCTGACTACTTCGGACCATCCTCTGCTGTGATATATATTTTCCTGACTACTTCGGACCATCCTCTGCTGTGATATATATTTTCCTGACTACTTCGGACCATCCTCTGCTGTGATATATATTTTCCTGACTACTTCGGACCATCCTCTGCCCTGACATATATTTTCCTGACTACTTCGGACCATCCTCTGCTCTGATATATGTTTTATTGGTTACTTTGGACCATCCTCTGATGTGATATATATTTTCCTGACTACTTCGGACCATCCTCTGCTGTGATATATATTTTCCTGACTACTTCGGACCATCCTCTGCTGTGATATATATTTTCCTGACTACTTCGGACCATCCTCTGATGTGATATATATTTTCCTGACTACTTCGGACCATCCTCTGCTGTGATATATATTTTCCTGACTACTTCGGACCATCCTCTGTGATATATATTTTCTGGACCATCCTCTGCTGTGATATATATTTTATTGGTTACTTCGGACCATCCTCTGCTGTGATATATATTTTCCTGACTACTTCGGACCGTCCTCTGATGTGATATATATTTTCCTGACTACTTCGGACCGTCCTCTGATGTGATATATATTTTACTGATTACTTCGGACCATCCTCTGCCCTGATATATATTTTCCTGACTACTTCGGACCATCCTCTGCCCTGATATATATTTTCCTGACTACTTCGGACCATCCTCTACAGTGATATATATTTTCCTGACTTCTTCGGACCATCCTCTAATGTGATATATATTTTCCTGACTACTTCGGACCATCATCTGATGTGATATATATTTTCCTGACTACTTCGGACCATCCTCTACAGTGATATATATTTTCCTTACTACTTCGGACCATCCTCTGATGTGATATATATTTTACTGACTACTTCGGACCATCCTCTGCTGTGATATATATTTTATTGGTTACTTTGGACCATCCTCTGATGTGATATATATTTTCCTGACTACTTCCTCTGCAGTGATATATATTTTCCTGGACCATCCTCTGATGTGATATATATTTTCCTGACTACTTCGGACCATCCTCTACAGTGATATATATTTTATTGGTTACTTTGGACCATCCTCTGCTGTGACATATATTTTCCTGATTACTTCGGACCATCCTCTGCTGTGATATATATTTTATTGGTTACTTTGGACCATCCTCTGATGTGATATATATTTTCCTGACTACTTCGGACCATCCTCTGCTCTGATATATGTTTTATTGGTTACTTTGGACCATCCTCTGCTGTGACATATATTTTCCTGATTACTTCGGACCATCCTCTGCTGTGATATATATTTTATTGGTTACTTCGGACCATCCTCTGATGTAATATATATTTTACTGACATGGAACATGTAATAATACACTTTGAAACAATGACACTCTAGTGTTGATTTACATATAATTACATTGTTCCGTTTCCTTGCTTAAACAACCTTGTTAACAGCGTAAAAATGATTTAATCGTTAATTATTAACGCTTTCTGTTGTAACAGATATCTGTTTGTACAACATTCTATTTTTTAATGTCCGCAGGTTAAAACTGCACGCGTCAGCAACAAATGTTGATTGTATGATAGTAATGATACAATCTACCCCAACGACCATATTCCTTAATGGCTGTGACATAGTTTTACATTCCACGTTTAACCTTGGATAAATGACATCAACATTAAAAGACATGGAGAACACAAGTGTATTGATAATATAAGGCACACTATGGAAAATTCGTAGAGCTCTTAGCAATAGGAGAAGTTCAAGGAGCGGACGATATTAACATTTTATACACTGATGATTTGGCTATGACGTTTCAGATCTTCTAGTGCGTGAGGATTGAGCCTAAGATATCTTGACTACGCAGTAGACCTGTTTCATTTCAACAATACATGTTGGGTCTAGATGAAATACATAAATGTCCAAACATCATATTATCTTTATCAGGCCTATCTGTTATGCTTGCATCATAACTAACCTGGATCTGATAACACTATCTGTTATGCTTGCATCATAACTAAACTTTATCTAATAATACTATCTGTTATGCTTGCATCATAACTAAACTTTATCTAATAACACTATCTGTTATGCTTGCATCATAAGTAAACTTTATCTAATAACACTATCTGTTATGCTTGCATCATAACTAAACTTTATCTAATAACACTATCTGTTATGCTTGCATCATAACTAAACTTTATCTAATAACACTATCTGTTATGCTTGCATCATAACTAAACTTTATCTGATAACACTATCTGTTATGCTTGCATCATAACTAAACTTTATCTGATAACACTATCTGTTATGTTATGTAGATGTCGGTAAATATGTTATGACCATCTCTGTGCAATACCACACACCACTGACGGCTATATATGCCAGTCTTTGAGTTATGTTTTGATCTAGAATTAATATAAGGGTTTTGAGGTAATATTAAGGTCTACAATTGATATTAGGGTCTAGAATTGTTATTAGGGTCTAACGGTGATATAAGGGTTTTCATTGGGCTTTCCAATCTATCAGGAGGTTTAGGTTGGCATAAACAAGAAAATGACAACATATATATAAGTGAGATTTGGTTTTAGCAGACATGTGTATATCAGACAGAAGTACATGTAGTATAGTGTATTCTTTTAGGAGACTATTTCTGTTCTATGATTTATTTATATTGCTAAATTCAGACCATATCGACTTACTGGCTAATTTTCGTACAAGTGTTGGCCTTTTGGCTCAAAACCCAGTACTATAATTTATAACTTGGAAATATCATGTCTTATTTTCCTTGCACATGCAGTTTCTGACTATACGACGTATCGTTAGAAGTACATATACAGCCTTCAATGATTTATTGTGTATAGTCTCATCAAGCTCACTACATATAAATTATCCGTGCCTAAAATAAGAATGGCCTGCCAAACAAATATCAGCGTATACCGCAATGTGAAATTGGTCCTTGAAATGAAGTCCTGTAACGATAAAACGAATATTTCTCTCCAAACAAACATTTAGAGCTAACTACCACTATCCATTCACGCTACAATAATACATGTTTGGCAATAATATTTCACGGCAATCATCGAATGGTGCCATTCAAAACAAATAAATAAGATTATGTAACTTATAGACTAAAATCTGGGTAATACATCTCCAGACAAAGAATTTACCTGCCACAAAGACACGATTTCTCTATCCTATAAATGTTAGAAAGTACAGATAGCTTTAGTATAGTGCGTCCATCATAAATACCAGACCAGATTGATGTTTTATTCATGTCGGATAATGTTTCTGAGTTTGACTTTTGGTTCTCTTGTCCTAACCCTAGTTTGGCAAAAAAGAATATTAATATAATTTCTTCAAACAAAATTTTACACAATTTGCTACTGGAGCATGACATTTTCTTCGTTTTTGAGACCCAAAGATTATACTCATATGTCATAATGATTGCAGTTAGAATAGGGACAGAGATATATTATCATCGACAAATTACCATTTCTGATTAGCGTTATTCTGAGATTTTTTGTCTTATTAATTCTGAAACAGAAATAGTGTTACAGTGCAAAACAATAACTATTAATATGTGTATATATGTAATGTTTCCTCTTTAACACACATTGTATCAATTTACTACAAATTAAACATTTCTACACACACTCCTGCTGTACCAAACTTGTATATCTTATTTTACCTTCGACCTCACCTATGTTGATTGGTTGTTGTATAAATTAGTTTCATTCCTGATATCGGAATTTGTGTAAAACGACTTATCTCGGTCCCTCAGGACTCGGGTTTCTTCAGTCAAATTTATTCAATAAATCATGGCTTGGTTTCGAAACTAGTATTACCTGGCTTCCAGTCTTAAAACAAAGACTTTTAACTTAATCTAAAAAACAATTGACAATTCAGTATGTTGACGTATTTTATGAATCCTTGATTTTGTACTTTGTGCTTTTCATTAGGCTTTGGCTCACATTTCTTGGCCAAGTTATGATATAATTTGACTGTTGGATCCTTTCTCCTTCCTTCAGTATTATCCGCATACAATTCTGTATGCCTGGACTCACCTCTCTTGGCCCCAGATTTTTGATGGTACACTTAAGGACAACCGTCTCCCCTTTATGGACCGTTATATTTCTCCGCCCTACTGGGACAAACTCTGTGATTGCCTGACGACGCACTGTTCGGCCGGCAGCTGCAACGAAGAGTTCAAACGTCAGACGAAAACATATATTTCATACAGTGGCCAGTGAAAAGCGCATATTTCATATAAAATAAGATTTATTGGGAAATCTTTCGCAACCGACCAATGCAGTTTTTCATACACATGATTATATGTACATGTACGAAGAAGAGAAAGAAAAAAGAAAGAAAAATGAAACTTTTTAAATACCAGTTCTGTTGATTATAAAACTGATGTAGTTGAATCAAACATCAAACAGAAAATACAGCAAATCATGTGAAAAAGACCTTCCGAGGCATGTAAGCAACTTCTTAAACATAACCTTTGACCTATATGCTGATAATTTGGGGTCGTTTTCGGCATGTGTCATGCTCGTATATTGTACATTGCATGTATTTAACCAAATGAAAGTGTGAACGATGATCACCGAAGGATTTCCCATCTAAGAAACTGATTCAATGATTAACTATACAACTACACGAACATTCAAAATCTGTACACGCATGATACACATAAGATGTGAAACACACACTTTATAGTGAAATGTCTTAAACACGCATGCCGAGGTCAAAAACACAAAACAATTTACCCAACTTAGGATTACAAAGATAAAAAATTCTGTATCATTAACTCTTCTATAAAAAATCACGGGTTTTTGATACGCGATTTTATTATAATTATACATTCTACTTCCGCTGTCAAGCACAGGTATGGCTGAAAATTAGATCTAATAACATTTTAGTCATGACAATAGTTCTGAGATTTAATTACCAATAAAAATTTGGAATTAGCCCTCTGTGATTTGAATGAATTGACAAGTTAGTCAGCCAGTTGATAATTAACACCGGGGACATTTTAACACAGTTTTCCAATCTTAACCAATCTAAGAGTTGATCAAGCTTAATGGATTTTCAGCAAATCCAATCCTGTAAAATTACGGTGTGAAGCATTTGTACGTGCATTAGTTTTCATAACACATTATATCCAATCTCGGTGTGTTACGGGGAGTCCAGTAAAAATAGGCCATGGCACAGATATTCCGTCATTAACCACCCAAAATAAGGTCACACAGCTTTGATAGATTAGATTCGTTTAATTACGCTAACATTTGCATTGTTTTTAAATAAAGTAGGGTAAAGAAATTAATCAACTGCGTTATAACGACACAATGATTTTACACTGTAATACCTAATGAATATCATTTACTATGAAATCTGAACTGCGTTGAACGTCATCATCAGTTCACCGTTATGTGACAAGTAACCAGACCGGCAGAATTTACGATACCAGAAATTGTAATGTTTCCTCCACATTTTTGTTCGTTAAGATATTATAAGGTGATATATTTTTAATTCATCCATCATTTTGATAGCAGTACAATATTGTATGGTATTCCAGGATTTATCATGGATTGTAAATGTTGCAATATGTTATTCTCAACAATTGTAATTTAATCAAATTAAACGTATTTATCTCATAATACAAAAACTCTAAAAGAAACCTTAAGCCAAAACACCGTTTAGGAACTGTTCGAATGTCATTACTCGACAGACGTGTATGGTACTCGTCAACGATGTATATCATTACGTTTATAGGTCATTTGTGGTTGATATAGGTAAACACTAATTTGATATAATTAGTATCAGTGAGCCACCTGCGTGCCATGTTTTAAACACCAGTTCTGTAATAGAATATGTACATAATGTGGTTCTGGGTAAAGCAATCAGTCACCAAAGACAACGAAGGAAATATATATTCTATGAAATGTAAACAACGTTTATTATTAAAATAACAGTTTTCTGTATTATTGATTAACCCGAGGTTTCCTGTTCTGACACATTGCTACGTCGGTGTGGTATACAACTGAATGTTACACGATTCAAGGGTATGCAGGTACTATGTACAATTGTATCTACGCCGACCCTAGGGTATGTAGGTATTGTGTAGAACTGAATCTACTCCGACCCTAGGGTATGTAGGTATTGTGTAGAACTGAATCTACTCCGACCCTAGGGTATGTAGGTATTGTGTAGAACTGAATCTACTCCGACCCTAGGGTATGTAGGTATTGTGTAGAACTGAATCTACTCCGACCCCAGGGTATGTAGGTATTGTGTAGAACTGAATCTACTCCGAAACTAGGGTATGTAGGTATTGTGTAGAACTGAATCTACTCCGACCCTAGGGTATGTAGGTATTGTGTAGAACTGAATCTACTCCGACCCCAGGGTATGTAGGTATTGTGTAGAACTGAATCTACTCCGACCCTAGGGTATGTAGGTATTGTGTAGAACTGAATCTACTCCGACCCTAGGGTATGTAGGTATTGTGTAGAACTGAATCTACTCCGAAACTAGGGTATGTAGGTATTGTGTAGAACTGGATCTACACCGAAACTAGGGTATGTAGGTATTGTGTAGAACTGAATCTACTTCGACCCTAGGGTATACACCGAAATTAGGGTATGTAGGTATTGTGTAGAACTGAATCTACTCCGAAACTAGGGTATGTAGGTATGTTGTAGAACTGAATCTACTCCGAAACTAGGGTATGTAGGTATTGTGTAGAACTGGATCTACACCGAAACTAGGGTATGTAGGTATTGTGTAGAACTGAATCTACTTTGACCCTAGGGTATACACCGAAATTAGGGTATGTAGGTATTGTGTAGAACTGGATCTACACCGAAACTAGGGTATGTAGGTATTGTGTAGAACTGGATCTACACCGAAACTAGGGTATGTAGGTATTGTGTAGAACTGAATCTACTCCGACCCTAGGGTATACACCGAAACTAGGGTATGTAGGTATTGTGTAGAACTGAATCTACTCCGACCCTAGGGTATGTAGGTATTGTGTAGAACTGAATCTACTCCGACCCTAGGGTATACACCGAAATTAGGGTATGTAGGTATTGTGTAGAACTGGGTCTACACCGAAACTAGGGTATGCAGGTATGTTGTAGAACTGAATCTACTCCGACCCTAGGGTATGTAGGTATTGTGTAGAACTGAATCTACTCCGACCCTAGGGTATGTAGGTATTGTGTAGATCTGATTCTACTCCGACCCTAGGGTATACACCGAAATTAGGGTATGTAGGTATTGTGTAGAACTGGATCTACACCGAAACTAGGGTATGTAGGTATGTTGTAGAACTGAATCTACTCCGACCCTAGGGTATGTAGGTATTGTGTAGAACTGAATCTACTCCGACCCTAGGGTATGTAGGTATTGTGTAGAACTGAATCTACTCCGACCCTAGGGTATGTAGGTATTGTGTAGAACTGAATCTACTCCGATGTAGGTATTGTGTAGAACCCTAGGGTATGTAGGTATTGTGTAGAACTGAATCTACTCCGACCCTAGGGTATGTAGGTATTGTGTAGAACTGAATCTACTCCGACCCTAGGGTATACACCGAAATTAGGGTATGTAGGTATTGTGTAGAACTGAATCTACTCCGAAACTAGGGTATGTAGGTATGTTGTAGAACTGAATCTACTCCGAAACTCAGATATGTAGGTTTTGTGTAAAACTGAATCTACTCCGAAACTAGGATACGTAGGTTTTGTGTAGAACTGAATCTACCCCGAAACTAGGATATGTAGGTTTTGTGTAGAACTGAATCAACTCCGAAACTAGGGTATGAAGTTATTGCGTAGAACTGAATTTTAGCCGTCCCTAAAGTATGCATGTGCATTGTAGAACTGAATGTTTAGTATAACTTAAGCTATGTCGACAATTAGTGTTGTCAAAGAAAAAGTTCTTATTCTCCGTTTGTCGCTGTTTAAACGTTTTGGTAATACAATGAGGTAGTAAACGGAGAATATGCCTATGGTCATTACAAAGTTGCTACATTTCGGCCTATCAACGCCTGTTTGTACGAGCTAATGTATCAGAGCAGGTATGTGTTGTTTGATTCTGGTAATTGTATTACAGATCTATTGAACTCACATTGTATTACATATGTGTTGAACTCACACTGTAATACAGATATGTTGAACTCACACTGTAATACAGATCTGTTGAACTCACATTGTAATATAGATCTGTTGAACTCACATTGTAATACAGACATGTTGAACTCACATTGTAATACAGACATGTTGAACTCACACTGTAATACAGATATGTTGAACTCACATTGTAATACAGACATGTTGAACTCACATTGTAATACAGACATGTTGAACTCACACTGTAATACAGATATGTTGAACTCACATTGTAATACAGATATGTTGAACTCACATTGTAATACAGATATGTTGAACTCACATTGTAATACAGATATGTTGAACTCACACTGTAATACAGATATGTTGAACTCACATTGTAATACAGACATGTTGAACTCACATTGTAATACAGACATGTTGAACTCACACTGTAATACAGATTTGTTGAACTCACATTGTAATACAGATATGTTGAACTCACATTGTAATACAGATATGTTGAACTTGCATTGTAATACAGATCTGTTGAACTCACACTGTAATACAGATATGTTGAATTCACACTGTAATACAGATTTTTGAACTCACACTAATACAGATATGTTGAACTCACATTGTAGTACAGATATGTTGAACTCACATTGTAATACAGATCTGTTGAACTCACATTGTAATATAGATATGTTGAACCCACATTGTAATACAGACATGTTGAACTCACATTGTAATACAAATATGTTGAATTCACACTGTAATACAGATATGTTGAACTCACACTGCAATACAGATATGTTGAACTCACACTGTAATACAGATATGTTGAACTCACATTGTAATACAGATCTGTTGAACTCACACTGTAATACAGATATGTTGAACTCACACTGTAATACAGATACGTTGAACTCACACTGTAACACATATCTGTTGAACTCACACTGTAATACAGATCTGTTGAAGTCACACTGTAATACAGATCTGTTGAACTCACATTGTAACACAGATCTGTTGAACTCACACTGTAATACAGATATGTTGAACACCACATTGT